ACCACTGACTGGTGTACCTGGAAGGGGTCAGAGGGGGTCTCTGTGTTCTTTCTGCTCGAGCACCCTATGCTCCACCCAGTTTTGCACCCCCCTTGACAAGCACCATGCTTGACGCATAGCAGCTGCTCCATACACATCTGGAGTGGGCGAGGTGGTGCTTCTATGCTCCACATAGATCACGCAGTTTGAAGTTCTTTGTTCCCATTTCTGTAGGGACATGGTGATCTGGACAGACATAAGTCCAATCCAAGGGAATTGTTGACTACTGTTGGCTTCCAGGTCCTTCCTTGATTGATTTTTCAGCAACCAATTAAGATATTTTTTTAAATACCATGGTGGTCAAAAAGAAGATTTCTGTGACCTCCATTCAGCCTACAGAACAATTATGCATTCTCCTGCAGGAGGCAGGATTCAACCTTGGCTTCAGAGGTTGAATTTGGAAAAGAGTTTGCTGATGCAGCCACCCCAGCGTACCCTCCAAGATGTGTGTGTGTGTGTGTGTGTGTGTGTGTGTGTGTGTGCGCGCGCGAGCACAGGGACCCTTACCATGGACCAAATCAGCAGTCACAGGGTGGGCAGTGACACTGCCTGTGAGGGACATCAGAGTCCTGCAGAAATGATCCACTAAACAGTCATTACAAGATCCCAGAAAAGCATCCCAGTGTCAAGGTGCACAGTCAGACAGCACCCTGGTGGTCACAGAGCACCCCTCAAACCCCTGGGGGGAGACCCTTGCAGACTCCAGTGCTGAGAGGTGAAGCTGAGGCTGTTCATTCTGCAGCGGTGACTTGAAAGACAAAGTCACAGGGGGCAAATCACAGCCGAGCCAGCAGGACAAGAGAGAATGACCGAAGACCAGGAGGGACAGAATGAGTGAAGGGACTTGTGAAGAAGCTGAGCACTCATCCTCTCTGAAACCTCAGGAGACTGGGGCAAGGGCCAAGTCAAGAGTTTAAGGGGTTTTTTCCCCAAGAACCCCAATCGGGTAGGATTCAGGGGCCCCTTCCAATCTGAAGTTCAATGTCGTGCTCCAGCTCTGGCAAGTTTACAGTGTGACGTTTTTCTTCTCTGGTTCCTTCGTCTTCCCTTTGTGAATCTCTGATTAGATGGAGACTGGGACCTGCTTTTATCCTCTGAGATCTTTCTTTTCTCATGTCTTCTCTGTCTCTTTGTCCTTTTGAACGATGTTCTACAAAGAAGTCCTCTGGTTTGATTCTCTAGTTTAATAGTTCCATCCTGAGAGTAAAAGGTCGCTGGACTTTCTTATTATGTCCGTCGTGGTCTGACTCCCCAGAGCCCTGCTGTTCCACCACGGCAGTGTGGTCCTGTCGGAGAGATGTGATATCCTCCCTTAACCCTCGGGAGGGCACGCATTTTGAAAATGTCATCTTCCGTGTGTTCTAATGGCTCAGTTTATTTAAGTTGTGGCTTTTTGTTTGTGATTGAGTCTGTGGTTTCTCTTTTGTGGTGCTGGTTTTCTGAACCTCTGATGGCAAGGTTGCGTGTTAAGGGTCTGTGATCCACCGGGCGCTGTTTCCAGATGCTCTCTCTGTGACCTGTAGCAGCCTCTGATTATGGGGGGTGAGGCCAGTTGAAGAGAAAAATGTATGGATGGACACGTGTCACCATGAGTGGTTCATCTCCTGGAATTTCCTGGATTTAGTTTATCAACATTAGATTCATATCAAAGTTTAGAAATTCCAATTGGACGAGAAGACTTATTATAAAAACAGCAGTGCCTGGCATCTGGCATCCCGCTTCCCATTCTTTTGCCGAGGCAGAGGCCATCACTTTCAACTATTTTAGGAGGACTCCTTTGGTAGGTGTCACCTTTCTCTAAAGAACCTGTTTATAGGTGACTCTTCTGCACAATGGGTAGTGCGTCAGACTTATAAGTAAACCACTTATATAGTCATCCTTTGATACGTGCAGGGAATGGGTGCCAGGCCCCTCCAAGGGTACCAAAATCCATGGGTACTCAAGTCCCTTGTATAAAACGATCTAACGTTGGCACAACCTGTGCAAACCTCCTGTATACTGTAAATCATACTGTGAATGCTGGACTGCAGTTCTAATCTGAAAAGACAGTCACACTGTTGATGAATGAGTGTAATTCTAATAAAAGTACAACCACCTGGTTGGCATTTTCATGAGACATAAAAGACATATATTGGAAATTCACTCATTTGTCAACGAGGTGACTCCTTTGTTCAATCTTTTTTAATACTGCAAGAATAATTCCTCAATTTTATGTGCTATTCATAATGCAACTGCTGTATACGACACTCCTAAGTTTAGATTTTCTCCATCACTTTATTAAATGGAGACAAAGGACCAAACAAAGCAATCACTTACAGTGATTCTGGTAACAATACTCCTACTGTGGCCATCTTAAGGTAGTGCTACGGTTTGGATGTGGATATTGGATATGGTCCCCCAAGGGTTCACACGGAGGCAGGTTGGTCCCAGCGTGATGTGGTGAGGTTGTAGAACTGTTAGGACAGCAGGCTTTGTGGAAGATGATCAGGTCATTGTGGATGCCACCCTCAGAAGGGAATGATGTCATTCTCTCAGGACCCCAGTTAGTTCCCATCAGAGTAAGTTGTTTTACCAAGAACAAGACAGTCCCCTGAATCTCTCCTGCTGCCTGTCTCACCACTCATTTTCTCCCTCTCACACACACTCCTGTGTGATGTCATCTGCCATGTTGTGATGTCATCAGAAAGCCTCACCAGAGCTGAGCAGATGCTGGCATAATGCTCTTGGTTTTCCAAAAATGTGAGCTAACTAAAGCCCTTTTCTTTAAAAAGTATCTGGCCTCAAGTATTTTGTTACAACAACACAAAATGAACTAAGACAGCTATGAAGGTGATGACGCTGGACATAGAACTGGGGGAAATGCCAGACAGAGCACTAATCTCTGGGGTATATAAAGACCTCAAAACACTTGATGCCAAATAAATTAATAAATAGCTCGGGCAATAAATGGGCAAAGGAACTGAACAGATACTTCACAGAAGAAGAAATATAATCAATTGACAAATATATGGAAAAAGTGTTCAACATCTCTAACAATTAGAGAAATGCAAATCAAAACCACGCTGAGATTTCATCTCACTCCAGTCAGAATGGCAATCATCAAGAATACAAGCAACAATAAATCTTGGCGAGGATGTGGGGGGAAAGGCTCACTCATACATTGCTGGTAGGACTGCAAATTGGTGCAATCACTCTGGAAAGCAGTATGGAGATTCCTCAGAAAACTGGGAATGGAACCACCATTTCACCCAGCTATCCACTTCACAGTGTATACCCAAGGGACTTAAAATCAGCATCCTAGAGTGATGCAGTCTCATCATTGTTTATAGCAGCTCAATTCACAATAGCTAAACTATGGAACCAACCTAGGTGCCTTCAACAGACAATGGATAAAGAAAATATAGTACATACACACAGTAGAATAATACTCAGCGATAAAGAAGAATGCAATTACGGCATTTTCTTGTAAAAGGACCAAGTTGGAGAATATCATGCCAAGTGAAATAAGCTAACGGTTAGGGAGGAATACAAGTTCTTTGGATTAGACAAAGGGGAATGAAGCGAAGGGAGGGGGAATAGGGATAGGAAAAATAGTAGAATGAATCAGACATTACTATCTTATGTTCATGTATGATTACAGAACCAATGTAATTCTACATCATGTGCAACCAGAAGAATGAGAAGTTATACTCCACATATGTATAGTATGTCAAAATAGAGCCCTACTATCATGTATAACTTATAAACACAAATAAAAAATATGAAATAAAAATAAATAACAGTGTCCAAAATAAAAAAGAATTTAGGAACTATGTAGACTTTACAAAAAGGAATTGCATAACCTTAGCAAGTACATCACCTCCCTCTGAAGTTCTCCATTGCATATTCTTAACATTAGCCATTAATTCTATGATACGTATTTAGAATTCAATGGCAATTTGAAAATGAAATTTTAAAAAGTACACAAGTAAAAGTTTCTTTAATTGCAAAAAAAAAAAAAAAAAGCTGGTGGAGATGAACAGTATCACACCTGTATGGTTATATCCACCCTATGATACAATAGATAAAAATATTCTCCAGATCATAAATATACAAAATGTAAAGTAGCTAGGGAGAAATGAGTTTTGAGTGTTTGTCACCTTTGATTTTAATAAAATATGATTTAATTATCTATGTAACTTAATTGTTAATATGGCTTTGTGTAATCAGCTCACAAAATCCTTGTGAGCTTAGGAATCAACTGCCTGGTCAGCTGAGGAGGCCTCACCAGCCACCGGCTGAGGGAGGGAGAGGGGGCTGGGCTGGGCCACCGTTCCTGGAGGCAAATCCCTGGTAAGGCTGGGGGACAGGAGCCGGGGACAGGAGCAGGAGAAACAGAACCCACACGCACCTCTTGCTGGGCAGCTGCCCTGGTGGGCATCTCCCTCCTCCTCACCTCAGGCCCATCCTAAAGACCCTGTCCCCAGGGAGGTCAGCTGTGACCCCCGGCTTCACACTTCTCCCTTTCCACATCCCTCATCCCCTTCATAAGGACTTCCCAAGCACCGGCCGCCCTCCCCAGTGGCGTCTAAACCACCAAGGGTGGGACTGTGAGGTTCCTGCCCCATCCTCCTGGGGACCAGCACAGAGCCTGGCCCTTCACCTGTTCTTGTGCATCAGCCTGAGGGCTGGCTCCAGCCTGGACATGCATCCAGCCATCACTGCCCTCGGCCTTATGGAAGCCCCGGCTTCCTGTTTGAAGCCAGGTTCGGGTAACAAGTGCAGGTGCGCTGGCGGCCTTATCAACTGGGCGAGTTTTGCAGGGTCACCTTTCAGATTAAGGAAACGGTGGGAGGGGAAGGCAGAGCATGAGGTCATAGAGGGAGCCCGGGGGGTGGGGGGCTAGTTTCCATGATTTCAAAGCAGTTTTGTTCTCTTATTTACTCACCCATTCATTGATTCACTCATTCATTAACAGATACGCTGACTGTGCCCAGCCCTGCAGAAAGGCATCGGGCACCTGGTACCTGTGCAGGCTTTGGCAGAGCAAGGTGGGTTGCACAGGCTTCTGGAACCAGGCAGATGTAGCCTCAAATTCTGAGTCATTACTGGCAGCCCATGACATTTGGGGTATGTTTTCTAACCTCTCTGAGCCTCATTTCCGTCCTTTGTGAAAAGAGCTAATAAGGTCTGTCGTCGGAGGCCAGATGGGCGCTACAGGGATGAAATATCTAAAATAACCAGCAGCTGGCGGGACTCCATACCTTGTCCTCCCCGGCCCCCTCCCACACCTGCATCTCCACCACCCCTGCTGCATGGCCGAGTGGTTCTTCCCCCTGCGTGTTCAGTGCTCAAGCCTCTTGAGAGCTGTTTGTTCTGCACTGGTGCCTTTAGCAGGTTCTTGAGGTGCAGCGCCCAGACCACCGGCATCAGAGTCACCCAGGGAGCCTGTTAGGATGCCAGTCCATGGGACTGAGTTTCATAGCATCGGGATCTCTGGGGGCAGCTCAGCAGATGGCATTGCAGACGCATTCCAGAGGCAGAGGCGGCGGCACTTGGCACTCCCGGGCTCTGAGAAGCCCCTTGGCAGCAACCGTTGGTGCCAGAGGTCTAGACTTGGCTTGCAAAGAACCAGGATGGAGAGAGGGTCCAGAAACCCGTGAGCCTGGCAAGGGGGCTGGGGAAGGAGCAGGAGGTGTGACTGACGTTGGCACGGATGCTGGGGTGAGAGGGGGTGAAGAGGTGCCAGCTGGCATTGTCCTGGCTGGACAGACACCGAGGTGCTACCTAAGCCCAACCGTGGGATCTGCCTGGAGGAGGAGGAGGGTTCCAGGTGCCCACTCCCCCAGGAGGCAGGACCCCACCAAGCCCCACAGGTGGCATCCTGACAGGGGAATTCCCCAGGTCAGTTCTGGCTTCAAGTATTTTGTCCCTTATTAGATTGTGGCCCACTGACATTCCTAGCCGTTCCTGTCAGGGGGCACCACGGTCCAACACTTGGAGAAGAGTCCAGGTGCTGGGGTCCATCTCCCATTCCATCCTGACTCTGGTCCTGGCCAGGGGTGGAGCCGGGAAAGTCATGTGACTCAGTGGACCCTCCCTTTGCTAGTCTGTAAAATGAGGATCACCAAGTCCACCTCTCAGGATGCTGGTGAGGAAATAAGGGCTCCAAAGCCCAGCCTGGAGACAGGCACACAGTGTGCTCTCTCTCCCTCCCACCCAGGGTTCCAGAACCCGAGCCCAGGCGGCAGCCTGCCCCTGGCCCAGCGGAAGGAAGTCCACGTCCCGCTCACTCGGCAGTTCTGGCAGTCCGGTCCCGAAGCCACCCACAGCGATGATGTTTTTGTCTGCGAGCTGGACTTTGATGGACAGCCTGCACTGAGCACAGAAGGTTCCCATTTTCCGTGGGGTGGGCAGGCGGGACAGGAAGTGGGGAGGCGCTGGGAGGGTAAGATCCAGAGCCTGTGGCCAGCAGGCGAGCCCAGAAGGTGCCAGAAACCCGAGGTGGATGCACAAGTGGCCAATGAAGGACAAGGGGACCTTGTTTAAGACCCAGGGCCTTGGCATCTCTGCCGAAAAGGGCTGTGAGGCCCAGGCCTGGGAAGTAGCCCAGGCTGCTGAGCAGAGATGTGCGAGTCCGCCATGCCCTGCTCAGAGCTGCGGCTCGCATTTGGAGGAGAGTTGCGTTATGGATGCCAGGAGAGGCCAGTCTGGGGCCGGGCGCCCTGTCTAAGTCAATTCTGTGGCTCCGTGGCCAGTCTCCTGCTTGCCCCTCATCTCTGTCCCCACTCTACTTTTGGCCCTTTTCCCTGGATCGTCACCCTTGGGACCTTGTGGAGCAGGGCTGGGACCCACGTGGACATCCACAGCAGTAGGGGGCAGCTCCTGCCCACGTCTCTGCAGCCTGTCTTGGAAGATGCTGTGGAAACAGCACTAACAACCCTCAGCCTGGGGGGCTCTCGTGGGGACTTGCTGAGGCTTCCTAGTAGCAGGGAAATGTGTGCTCTGCCGGCAGCCAATGTAAAACCGCTGGAGGGCAGACAGCTGACCCCAGCTGCCCCACCCCACAGGCCACCAGGGCACTTGACCCAGGGGCTCAGAAGGCCCTGAGAGAGCCCTGGGTTTGGAAGCAAGTCTCAAGTCCCAGAGCTGCAGGGTGTGATTTCATGGTGTAACTTTGCTGGTGTTTTCTAGGATTATCATTAGAGTTATCCCCCAGTGTCGTGGGGAATTGGTTCCAGGACCCTCTACAGATACCAAACTCTGAGGATGCCCCCGTCCCTTGCATAGAACCTACTACATACATCTTCCCATATACTTTAAATTGTCTCTAGAGACTTGTAATGCTTCTTATAATGTAAATGCTCTGTCATGCTCTATTGTTTAGGGACTACTGACAAGAAAAAGAAGTTCCTATATATTTGTTACAATTTTTTTTTTAATATTTTCTATCCACAATCTGTTGAACTCATGGATTCAGAACCTGCAGACACCAAGGCAGCATCAAGCATGTGTCCTTACAGTGACTGTGGTCCTCCTTGTCCCAGTCCACCCGGCCCCCTCCCTCCTGGGGAATGGCACTGCCCAGCTAATGAATGGGAACACGCTGTGGCTCACTGGCCTCTCCATGTTGAGCCTGTGGCCTGGAAGAGTCTCTGGTCCCTCATGATGGACCGTGCCCTACTCTCCAAGGCCCCTACTTTGTTCCGCAGCCCCTGAGCCAGTCTCCTGCCTCCAACCCCCACTCTCTGCTGCAGGCCAAACCCCACAGAGCCCAGCCGTCCACACATCTCCTCTGCCCAGAGTACTCTATCCATGCCCTCGTCCAACATCAGGCCCTGGTCTTTCTCTCAAGTCCTTTGTCCTCTGGCCACTAGTGGTTAGGGGAAGCAGGAGGGCTCCCAGAGGTGGCCTTCAATAGTGACCCAACTCCCCGACCCTCACCTCTGCCCCTCTGTCACCATCACACCTTCCCCTCTCAGAATTGTGTTTGTGGTGGAGGCAAACTGGCGTGGCCTGGGCTGTGACACCTGCAGCTTTGACCGTCTGTCACCCCTCCTCAGTCAGCTGCCCAGAGGCAGGAGTTCAGCCCTAACCCTTGCACAATCCTTTCCTCAGCCTGATGCTGGACCTGCTCTTGTTCCTCCTCGGCCTGCAGGGTCTAGCTGAGAAGACCACCCTCTACCTTCCCATTAAAATCACAGGAAAAAGGGGAAGGGGCGGTTCCCCCAACCCGGAGGCGTTTTGGGGGGTTCCCTGTGGGGATGTGCAGCGCCCCCCTCTTGTGGCGGGGCCGCACTCTCGCTCTTTTTTGTGCGCGCTGTGTTCTGGGGCTCTCGCCCCGCTTTTTGTGTTTTCGTGTGTGTGTGTGTTGTTGTGTTTTTTGTCCCCATTCTCCCTCGCCCCTGTGCTGTTGTCTCCCTTTCCATGTTGTGGCCCCGGGGTCTCCCCGCGCCTGTGGCACCCCCACATATGAGCACATTTTTGTCTTATAAATGTGTCACTGAAGGGCTGTGCAAGCCACAGTGCCTCCAATGTCAATCTGGCTACCAGCAAGTGGTTTCTAAGCTTTCCATGGACCAGCTTGGCACCTGACTCCCTCATGCAGATAGGCAGTATCCTCTGACCTCCCCCAGCACCCCTCTGCTAAATTCTGCTATTGGGTCAAGTATAGGGATCCCCCACCCAAGGGACACCCATAGCTAGGTCCCTGCCCTGTGCTACCCCCTCTCCAGCGCTGGCCCCAGGAGGGTGTGTCCCCTTGTTGGACCCCTCAGGGTCTGCTCCCTTCATTCCTCCTGTAGGCTGAGCTAGCATTTCCTCTCGTCTATCGCATGTCTCCCACTTTCCTGGGTCCCCAAACCAAGCAGCCAAGACAGCCACTTGCTATGAGCATAAGATGACTCTTTTGCTTCTAGCCCTTGATTATGGCTTTGGCCTATCTGCATGGTCTTTTTTAAGAAAACATTTATCCTGCCTTGACATAGACCAGACACTGGGCTGAGGAGAAGCATCATGAAATGCTCACAGTCACCCACCCTGCGGAGGTAAGCACTATTATTTCCCCAGCTTTACAGTTGGGAGACGGGGGCACTGAGAGGTGGAGTGACCTGGCTGAGCTTCTGGGCCTGGGAAGGGCAGTGCTGGATCTGGATGGGGGTGTGCTGATTCCAAAGCCCCTGTGGACACACACACCACGCCGCCTGCTGGGGTCCCATCTGCCACAGCCTTTCCTGGGGACTCTGGTTCCCCAGCCTGAGCCATTTTAGGAAGGTGCTCAGCAGCAACAGGGGGTGGCCAAGAACTGCCCGAGGAGCTGGGCTGGCCAACAGCACAGCCAGGCTTGTCCCCACTCCCAGGGCAGAGGCTGACTGTGTGTAAATCCTACAGCTGCCCACTGCCCAGCTGGGTGTATGGAGGGAAGCAGGGAGGCTGCGAGAGCCCACAAGCCAGCCTCAGCAGCCTGGTGGCCAAGACCCGAGAGCAGAAACTGAAATAGAGATGTTCTTGGCCTCGGGGAGGGCTGCAGGGAGAGACAGGGAAGAATGGTCCCCCCAGGATGGAGCTCCACCCAGCCCTCCGCCTGCAGTGCCCTTCAACTCCCTCTGCTTGGCTGCCCCAGCTCTGTGAAGACATCTTCTGGAAGCTCCCTTGATTCCCTCCTGTCTTCCAAACTGGATTGGGCTCTCATCTCTGATTGTGCCTGTGCCCCACCATCTTGGCCGTTAGCACCTTGCATCTGATGGTCTTTCTAAGCCCCTGCATTCTCCTGAGACTGAGCTCCATGGTGCTGACATGGCATCTTCCCCATCTCTGGATCCCTGCTGCCCAACACAGAACCAGAAGGGACAGGGGGCGAGCAGAGCTGTGGAAAAGGAAAGCACCCAGGTCTGTGGCTGCTGACATGTGCTGGGTTTTCTTGGAGATGGGGGTGCCTGCAGGAGCACGTTGGCAAGCATCTCTGTAGAGGTGGCTTGTCCCCATGATTGTCCTCACAGCCATGAAGGTTGTGTTGGCAGGAACTTTGGCTTCTCCCACTTTTCTTCAAATAGAATATGGGCCCAAGGCCCCAGGCAGCTCTTCTGTGCTGAACCTCTGAGTATGTTTGCTTTGCCGTCTTGAGTGGAGCTGACTGCAAGGGCTCAGGATGCAGCCCTGGATGGCCCTGGGTGCACAGGTAAAGGAGCATCTGTGCAGTCAGGGGACAGCACAACCCAATACTGTGGTAGGGACTGAGCTGTTGGCTTCAGGTCCACATTTCTTGCTCCTGAGTCTTTGAAAGTTAAAACATACTCTACTTGCTTGGAGGACAGAAAGGAACCCTAATCTTGTTCTAAGGAATCAGAGTTTCCTTGGCTATGAGCTCTTCAAGTGGGGTGGATTCAGGAGCTGACGCCAAGTCCTCCAAGCCTGGATGGTGGCAGCCACCATGTGGGCATGGAGAAGGAGCCTCCCTTCTGCAGGTGGCGGGTCTCTGAGTGCCGATCGGAGTGATGCCCCCACCCAGGCAAGGCCCAGAGACGCCAGCCTGTGTCTGTAGGACCAGTGAGGGATGCCGGGAAGCTGACTGTCCAGGTCCATTCTGCATCCTAGAAATCTGGAGGCTCATCACTAGGACTCAGAGACTTGTAGACAGCGGCCAATCACATGTTAACAGCGAGAGGTGTATTAAGAGCAGGGGTCCAAGAGAAGGATCTTAGAAGAGGGGGGAAAACAACAAAAACATCTTTTATTTAGAAGCGGGGACTGGAGAGACGAGTTTGGAACCAATGGCTTAGGACCACTCAGGAAATTCAAAATCTAATAACTGGAGAGGACAAAGGTCCAGCATGGAGGCAGCAGCCTCACTGGGGGAGGGGATTCTTACCAGTATTTAGGGCGTGTGGCTGAATGTGAATTCTTCACGTGGGTCCCCAAAGATGTCCCTATCCCAACCCTGTAACCCGTGAGTGTGCCAGCTGAGTGCACAGGTCACTCTGAAGATGGGACTAAGTGAAGGATCTTGAGATGAGGAGATGATCCCAGACTGTCAGGGCAGGCCCCACCCAACCCCAGGAGTCCTTAAGTCTGAGACGCTCTCCCGGCTGTGGTCAGAGGAACACGTGACTGGGGAAGGAGGGCCAAGGAGCAGCTGACTCTGAGGACGGAGAAAGGGCCCTGGGCATGGGATGGGCAGCCTCTGGAAGCGGGAAGCAACAGGGGATGGATTCCTTCCCAGAGGATCCAGAAAGAGGCCCAGCCTGCACCACCTGCTCTCAGCCCAGTGGCGCCACCATGTTCATAGTCATGTGCGGCTGGAGCAACAGAAAGCTACACAGTAAAGGCCACTCTTGAGCTTCACCCCCTTCTCTCCACCACCCTCCTGCCACCGCCAGCTCCCGGATCCACCTCGCCAGCATCTCTGTGCTCCTCTCCTGCACTATCCCCATCACCTCCACTCAGACAGCTCTTCCTCCCTGCTTCTCTGAACCATCAGCCTCCCCTCCAGCCGGATTCCCTGTTAAAAGCTGGCCCCTCTTTACTCTCTTCCAAAAACCCAGCTTAGATGAGGAGAATTCCAACTTCTAACTGGTCCTGACTTCCTACTGTGAAAAGAAGAATGTCTACTACCTCTACCCAGCACACAAGCCAAACCTGTCTCCTTGCTGCCTTTCTCTCTGTGACTGCCCTTCTTTTCCATGTCCCCTGACTTAGCTCCTCCATGGCCAGTCTCCAGATGCTCAGGGAGCACCTCTGCTTTCAGGCCGCTGTGCAGGGTACCAAGGTCTAATATTCCTCTTCTCCAAGGTCACTCACTGCCTGACTTGGTGTTTACTGTGGTGCAAAGATCTCGTTCTGTCTTGTCTTTGCCTCCTGCTCTGCCCAGCTTGCCCCACTGTGGTCCAAGCTAATTAACCCAGGACAGGCTTGCAGCTCACTCATCTTCACTGAGCATGTGACATGCAGGAGGAGAAAGTGTCTGAATGTGTGCTCCTATCACAAATTATCACAGCCTGGGTGGCTTAAGCAACAGAAATTGATGATCACTCACAACTTTAGGGGTTGGGAAGTCTGAGATCTAGGTACCAGCATGGTCGGTTGCTGGTGAGGGCCCTCCTCTTGGTTCGAAGATAGCCATCTTCTTATGCTTCCTCCCACAGAGGATGCAGAGAATGAGAAAGCTCTCGTGTCTTCTGATGAAAGTGTGAATCCCATTCATGGCCTGATCACCTTCCAACGCCCCCACCCCTTAATACCATCACACTGGGGGGTTGAGATTTCAACCTAGGAATTCCGGGGGAAGCATTCAGTCCAGAGGGTGAGCTTAGGCTGCCCGTAGGAAGAGTCAGGGCAGTAGGGACAGCTGAGACCTTTAACAAGTAATCCTAAAGGCCACATTTTACAGCACTTGACAGTTTCCTAATCACATACAAATC